TATGTACTCCTTCATGGATTGCTGCCTTGTTGTGGCAGAGAGGCTTGAGTAATTCAGAGAAGCTACGGGCTATGCCGTGCAGGGACACTCAAGATGGACAGGTCATAGTGGAGAGTTCTCACTAAATGCGATCCTCCTGGAGCAGGAACTGACAAGCCGCTCCAGTATCTCGGATTCGTCGTAATGCAGGGCAATCGTAAAGCGAGGCACCACTGTACAATCTCAAAAATGACAGAATGATTTCAATATGAATCTAAGGCAGACCTTTCAACATCACAGTAATCCAAGTTTATGCACCAACCAACAATGCTGAAGAGGCTGAAATTGACCAATTCTATTAAGAAATACAACGCCTTCTAGAACTGACACCAAAGAAAGATGATGTCATTATAGGGGACTGGAATGCTAAAGTAGGGAGTCAAGAGATAAAAGGAACAACAGATAAGTTTAGCCTTGGAGTTCAAAAATGAAGCAGGGCAAAGCTTAATAGAGTTTTGTCAAGAGAACAAGCTGGTCATCACAAACACTCTTTTCCAACAACACAAGAGGCCACTCTATACATGGACATCACCAGATGGGCAATACTGAAATAAGATTATGTTATCTCCAGCCAAAGACAGAGAAGCTCTATACAATCAGCGAAAACAAGACCTGGAGCTGATTGTGGCTCTGATCATCAGCTTCTCATAGCAAAACTCAAGCTTAAACCAAAGAAAGTAGGAAAAACCTCTGGGCTAGTCAGGTATAATCTAAACCTTATGAATACACAGTGAAAGTGAGGAACAGATTTAATGAACTTGATTTGGTGACTAAACAACAACAACTAATCTTATCTACAGCTATTTCATTCCCATTGAATAAACCTTCAAAAACATTTTTTCTAACCCTCAGTTTTTCTTTCATCTTATTACATAGTTCTCCTTTCTCATTTCTGATTGTTCCTATCATATTTTTTGCTTTTCTTGTGTCTTTAACCAACATTCTAAATATTTTATTGCTATTTTCATAGTGATCCCTTTTTAAATTTATTAAATCTCTCTGCACTTTTTCTATATCAATGTTCTCTGCTTCATTCTTTTTTGCATAATTTCCATCAAGCTACACTTTGTTATAGACAACTGCATCCCCGAGAAGCATAATTTTCCTGGAAGTTGAACTTCAAAAAAAGTGGGAGAGAAAATATATGCACATACACACTTACTATCAGGTCTACAGAAGCAGGCCACACGTGACCCTTAGACCTCATGAACTCCACTTTTTTTTAAGCCCACCATTCTGCTTTTGATAGCAACCAAACAGATCCCTTTGGAGGTTTACAATGGAGGAGGATACATAGCAGTTGGCCACCATCTATCTTTTCTCCCCAGCACCACCTTTAAAGGTAGGTGTCTCAATCAGTTTTTAACTGCCAAACTTAGTCTCTCTCTGCATGGCTAATACCTGGCCACAACACCGTTCTCATAGGTAACTGGGTAATGTGCATAAGTTTGCAAACTAGAATTGGCAGATAGATAAACAATGTACTCTAGGTGGCAGCAAAATATTATTCTAGAAACTGAACAAAATCTGCACTACTGTTAGGATAAATGGGAAGGGGGGCATTTGCACCTTTTGCATATAATGCGAATTGTTTAGATTGATCAAGTGAAAAAGTATATGCAAACACAGGAATAAGAGGAAAAAAATACATGCTAAAATCTACTCTTTCCTCATGTTGTACTGTTATAGGTTTCTAGGTTCCATATACAGTACAAGGGCTGACATCCTTTACCACCACCTGGAAAAGTGAGTAATCCTCACAATCAGAAGTCAACAATTTTAATGAATGTGTGTGATTCTTCCAAAAGTGCACCTAGTTTGATGTTAGTCAACCAGTAAAAGGCTCCTGGAAAAGTGAGTAATCCTCACAATCAGAAGTCAACAATTTTAATGAATGTGTGTGATTCTTCCAAAAGTGCACCTAGTTTGAAGTTAAGTCAACCAGTATACATTCCCTATTGGAAATATATTTTCAAAATGAAAACAAAAATTATTACTTGGTATTTTCAATCTGAAGTATCCTTTCAGAGAGTTGGGATGGTATAGCAGATTGTGTCAGCAACTAGATGGTTAAATACCAGGGGATTTGGGGTGAATTTGAAAGAGTTTTTTACTGACTGCATGATACAAAGGCTGAATCAAATTGATCCAGTCTTTTTCACTTCCAAACGGGCTCCCCTCCCCGCCACTGGAGAGCTTTTACTTTTCCAAGCTGGAATGAGCTGAGCAAACTTTTTCCTGTAAGGTAAAGGTAAAGGTAAAGGTTCCCCTTGACAATTTTTGTCCAGTCGTGTTCGACTCTAGGGGGCAGTGCTCATCCCTGTTTCCAAGCCATAGAGCCAGCGTTTGTCCGAAGACAATCTTCCGTGGTCACATGGCCAGTGCGACTTAGACACGGAACGCTGTTACCTTCCCACCGAGGTGGTCCCTGTTTATCTACTTGCATTTGCATGCTTTTGGTTAAATACCAGGGGATTTTGGGTGAATTTGAAAGCGTTTTTTACTAACTGCATGATATAAAGGCTGAATCAAACTGATCTAGTCTTTTTCACTTCCAAAGGGGCTTCCCCCCCACCCCCGCCACTGGAGAGCTTTTACTTTTTCAAGCTGGAATGAGCGTAAGGCCATTGTGCAACTTTCTTGTAAAGACAAAGGGGCATTTCTGAAGGTAATGTTTCAGTAACATGGGCAGTTGAAGCACAATGTTGAGGACAGGGACGGTGGGGAATATGCAAAAGCAAAGCACCATGATTATGGTTTGCTGTGAAGTCACATTCTGATTTAAAGGTTCAGACTACTACATTTCTGTAAAATGTTTCTATAGAAAAATGTCATGGAAAGGTACTTCACTGTCTCAGAAGTTTGAACAGTAGTTTTGCAAAATATTTCATGAAATAGATTCACAACAATTTCATATGGTATCACCACTTCCCATTACCCATCGGTTACTCGTTTCCCTTACTTTCAAGTAACACATGTAGAAATTACTCATTTCTAGTGACATATGGTCTCAAACTAGTTTAAACTAATTTATGTCACCAGAGATAGGGTAATTCCTCCATATGTTACTTCAAAGGAAATGAGTAATCATGAAATAGATTCACAACAATTTCATATGGTATCACCACTTCCCATTACCCATCGGTTACTCGTTTCCCTTACTTTCAAGTAACACATGTAGAAATTACTCATTTCTAGTGACATATGGTCTCAAACTAGTTTAAACTAATTTATGTCACCAGAGATAGGGTAATTCCTCCATATGTTACTTCAAAGGAAATGAGTAATGGATTGAATGTTCAAACTAGTTTAAATTTATTTCACCAGAGATAGGGTAATTCCTGCATATGTTACTTCAAAGGAAATGAGTAATGGATTGAATGATGGGAAGTTCCATACAGAACAATTAATTGCCTGCAATCATGATGTATTTTGCAAAATTACTGTTCAAACTTTTGATGTTCTGCATTCTGAGACTATGATTTTTTATTGTATTTTAAATGTTGTAAGCCGCCCAGAAACCTTTGGGTAGTGTGGGTGGCATATAAATAAAATAAATAAAATAAAAATAAATAAATAAATACCTTTCCATGTTATTTTTCTATAAATAGGTTTTTCAGAAATGTAGTCTGAAGCTTGAGTGTGGAGGATCCCCAGAGAGGATATCTGGATGAGAGCCAGGGAAGTTCCACCTGGCTTGTTTCCAAACAATGCCTGGTATGTTTGCATTGGCACATACCCTCTTCTCTAGGTCCTCCTGAACCATATAAGAGGACACATTCAAATGTTCTTCCTCACCTCACCCCAGCATCCTGGCATCCAGCCAACACATCCACCAACACCTCCTGTGGCTTTTTCCTGGCTGCACATATAAGAATCCCATATCATCTGGGGGATTTCCGAAATAATTCAGTTCGGGTTTCAGCTGCTTCACCCTGATACTTATTTATTTATTTTATTTAAAATATTTTACCCATCTTTTCTCCTCAAAAGGACCCAAGAAAACTCACATCATTAAAAGAACAATATATAAAAGCTAAAAACAATAACTGTTCAGATATTTAAAAAATAATTAAACAAGTATCATATTAAAAATAGTAAACATAGTAAATAAAATCAATACTAAAACACATTTAAAAGCAACAGAGCACAGACTCTTGGTCAAAGTCCCACTGTGCTGCATAGGCATCCCTGTGGAGGCAATATTTTCCTTGGCTCTCGGATGCACCTCCTCCCACTCTTTTCCCTCTTGCTACGGGACTCCTCTAAGCTGTAAAACCACTGAAGGGCCAGCAGAGGCAGGACCAGGAAGGAAAGATCGGCAAGAGGTAGGATCAGACGAAGGAAGGGGGTGGGTGGGCTGGAATGTGACTCACATCACAAGCAGCATGAATGGTAAACTCCCAAATCAATCCACAGCCTCTGTGTGAGACTGACTGTGTTTTCAGACATAATATAGGCTGGGAATCAAATCACAGCAAAGTCAGATTATTCCAAATCAGCTCTGCAATGTAGTTGCACACTAAGACACAGAAACCCTGGCTTCCAATCCCCACCTGGCTATGGAAACTTACTGGCAATTGTAAACTACTCCTTGAACTCCTCACTCTTGAACTACTCCTTAAACTTGGAAAGTTTATCAGGATGACCATAAAACACAAGCAACTTGACAACATAATAACTCACTTTATTAAACATAGTCTGCTCCTCAGATGATTGCATGTCACTCTAGCATGTAGTCAGCTAGAGTGACTACGTGCCATCAAGTCTCATATAGTTGTGAAAAATATATGAGTTAACTTAAGTATGCCAGTGTATTATATGCTGCTTTCTCTCAATAGGCTCTATGAAGAATGCTTACCCGCTTGACAATAAACCAATTCAGCTTTTAATAACAATTTTAAAAAGCACTAAAGTGCAAATGAAACAATCAGTTTAAGATAACACTCTCAGAGCTTTACCTGTTTCTGTCTGCAAACTTTCTGATATCCGAAAACAGTGCATTTTACTGAAGTTACGAGAAAGCAAGCGCACACAATTTGGAGGAAGAATCATGTTTCTTAGTCTTCCAAATGTACATTCCGGAGCTTCGATCACACAGCAAGCAGCATGAGCCTGTGGAAACACAGCACCAAATTCTTATAAAGTCATGTCTAAACTTGCATGTCAGTGCTCTCTACCGCCTTGCAGGCACGCCACACCCCCATGAGCATACCATATTCCCCCCCCCAAAAAAACTGGTCTGTGGTTGGAAAAAGGTTGGACACCACTGCTTTAGGGTATCAGTCCATCCCATATTTGGTCTTCCTCTTTTACTGCTGCCTTCCACCTTTCCCAGCATGCTCTTCTAGAGAACCCTGCCTTCTCATGATGTGTCAAAAGTACGACAGCCTCAGTTTAGTCATTTTTGCCTCCAGAGATCGTTTAGGTTTGATTTGATCTAGGACACAGTTGTTCATCTTTCTGGCAATCCAGGGTATCTGCAAAGCTCTCCTTCAGCACCCTATTTCAAATGAATCTTTTTTTCTCTCTTAGCTTTCTTAACTGTCCAGCTTTCAAACCCACACATGGTGATTGGAAATACAAGAGTGTGAATGATCTTGGTCTTGGTCTCTACTGACACATTCTTACACTTGATGATCTTCATTGCTGCCCTTTCAAGCCTGTCTTCTGATTTCTTGGCTGCAGTCTCCATTTGGATTGATTATTGAACCAAGACATACTAAATGTCATTCTTGCTTAGATGAGTTCAAAAGTCTAAAGCTCACTTGGAAGGAGGAAGGCTTGCCGCACATGTGGAAAGGATTCATACCCAACCTACATTTCCACTGTGCTTTCAAAATGCCCCCCATGCTTTGCACATGACTGGGCCAGGCTTACCTTTAAAGAGAAAGGTCTCAGATGACTGCATCTAACATGGCCATGACTGGCTCTGAAACGTTTTCTACAGAAACCTAGGAGTGAGATAAAATGCCCTTTGCAAGCAGGTGGTCCCAAGTTCAACCCTCAGACACCACCATTTACTGCATCTGTATCCAGTCAGAGCATCTACTGAGCTACAGGTCTGACTAGAAGGTGACTTCCTATGTTCACGTAATTCGAAGAAAATACCTAACAAAAATGGAATAGCCTGAAGCTGAGTGTGCAGCGATAGCAAGACAATGCTCCACCAACAAATTCCACAGATTTTTCATTTTTCTGATAATGCTGTAATTCAGAAACAAAAGACTAGTATCTGAACTTAAAGAAAACCAGCTCTAATATTCTGAGTGAACTATCTGTTGTTTTCAACATGTATTTTCTATCCCACTAATTTTTATTTATTTATTTATTGCATTTATATGCCGCCCATCTAGACATAGTCTACTCTGGGTGGCTCACAACTTAGAAGATAAAAAACAATTTAAAATATACAGTATTACATTAAAACACAAAATGGTTATATTTGTAAAAGAATGTCCTGTGCTATTGATTTAAAAAAACAAAATGGTTATATTTGTAGAAGAATAAGGTTGTATTTGTAGAAGAATGTCCTGTGCTATTGATTTAAAAAAAAAGATTGTGACTATTTATAGATGCAAGACATGGCAGTTTTCCAGACTACACACACTGCTCTATTATACTTTAAGTATTTTGTTGTGTTTAATATAAAATATATCAGCATGGCCCTCCGGCCAAATAATGATATTTTTATTTTTACTGTAAGACAGTGACCATTTATTGCTGTAAGCAATGATGGCTTCCAAGAAAATACACATTGCTCTGTTATGCCATGAATATTTCCGCATTTTGTTGTATCTAATATAAAAAATATTGTTGTGGCTGCTCAGTCCAATAATAATCTTTTCACCTTTACTATATGATGAAAATCCTTGAGTTGGGGGGGTGAGGCATAAGTCAGGGTACAAAATTAGGAAAGAAAAAACAACAACGTATGATGGACGTACCAGAATACCACACCATTCACATCTCATACCCGAGAGCACCTCTGAAGATCCGCATGCTTTCTTGCAGACTTTGCAACGTGCCCCTGAAGGAAGATTCCCCTCCCTCCAGTGATGATGGTATATATCCTGTGAGAAGGAGAAATGAACCAGTGATTACAAAAACCTACCTCCGTATTGTCAAAAGACACAGAGAGAGGTAAAATTAGTCACATGAGCAGCATTTGAAAAATTAATGTAGAATCGTACAAGAAAAAAATATATTTATAAAAATTAATGGCAAAGGCTTTAGAACACTAACAGAAAAAGAGAGTGCTTTTAGGCTTAGAGCAAGAGGAGGAATCTCTGAGCTGCCCATGGAAGACATTTATTTATTTATTTATTTATTGGACTTATATACCGCCCCATAGCGCTACAAGCACTCTCCGGGCGGTTTACAATTTTAATTAAACATGCCCCCCTTTCCATTTTTTGGAGGAAAAAAAGGGATTAATCTGTTGGTTGGAGATAACATGAGGATCTCTCCCTACACTGCTCATTTGTCCCATTAGGAAAATAAGTGGGGCAGGGAACTTTCAGCTGCTGCTTGCAAGCCCAAATCGGAGCACCGGCTGAGTTCCCCACCCCAAATCCAGCCTCCTTACTGCCCACTGGTCTTCCCACACCAACACAGTTCCCCATCTCTTCCTTAGAATAAAAGGTCTTCCTAGCAAATTCATTCCACCTTCTTCTAACAAAAATATTGTACTTACATGGTCCTGATGACCATCCTGATGACACTGGCGACAGTCACTGCAAGCAAATGGGACACAATCTGTATGCACATGTAGCTCACACACTGGAAGTAAACAGAGTAAAATGGAAAAAGGTCTCATCTCTGCATTCCTTCTGCATTGGGTTGTAGCTACATTCTTCTTGTTTCACACTTTTTTCCTAAAAAATTCCTCATCATCATCATGGCAAGGAAGGTTAAACATTTGAATCACTGTGAGTTCAGCTTCAGACGTAGACTAAGAAGTGACAGAATGTAGGAGCTAACAAGACGTCCCACCCTTAGCAACTGAGTGAATGACTTCTTGAAATATAAACTGGACAAATCATGGGGCACTATTCTGAACTGTAGCTATAACAGGATACAAGGGTTTTATAAAATATCCCTGTCTTGCCAAGATCTGGCATAAAAGGCCCTGTGTCTTGATGTAAGCTAAAAAATAAAGAAACTGCTAATTGAATTTATTATTTGTTTGTTTGTTTATTTGTTCCATTTTTATCCCACCCATCTAGATTCAGGAATCTACTCTGGGCAGCTTACAGAATATAAAGATAGCATGGATGATGTCCCATCTGATAAGCAAAGCAAAGTGTGCTGCTTCTGTATCACTCCACAGTGATTAAAGCACTCTCTGGGCAGTTTACAATTTAATTATGCAGGCTACACTTTGCCCCCCTCCCCCCAGCAAATTGGGTTACTCAATTTCCCAACCTCAGAAGGATGGAAGACTGAGTCAACCTCGAACAGGCTATCAGGGATTCAACCTGGATAGTGAGCAGAATTTTGGCTGCAGTACTGCAGTTTAACCACTGCACCACAAGGCTCTTTACTTAGCCCTTACCTGAAGACTAAGAATGGGATTTGGGGATTTTTTGGACTCTCTAACACCCAGAACTCCACAAAAATTCTTCAGGCAAAATTATTAGAGACCAACTTTCCTTGCCTCCATGGGTGCCTCCAACAGCCTAGTCATTTTTTTCTTTTAAAAAGGGGGAAAACCAGTTCTTCCAGGGAGTCACAAAGTTTCATTGGCATCACAAAGTTTCCAGAGAGTGGTAGTCTTGCTGCCTATTAGGCTCCATACAGGGTGCCTCACAAAGAGCTACCCCTTCCAGGAAGCTTGTGATTCCCACAAAGCCTTCTGCCTGGAGAATCCTTGGTGCTGGCATCCCAAAACTCTGAATGTTCCATTCCTACAAAAGACCCTTACTGTAAGTCCTGGCATTGCCAGTTTAAGAACAAAGGGAACCATCACCTAAATCCTGTTCCGCCAATGTGTTGGTGGAAAGGAAATAGTACAACTCACAGCAGCTAACTGCTGCTAATTACTAAGTCAGATAGCCTGGTGCACAACCAACTGATGAGGAATCACAAATGAGCAACAATTAGTAACTGTGAATTATGCCACATGCCTTTCACTTGCATAGCTACAGAACAGGATTTTGGCCAATAAAAGAAAATATATCAGTTCTTGCCCCACTGAAACCCTCTTCTTCAGCAAGTAAAGTCAGCTACCCCACACCCACTTGAACAGAAAGATCTTTGTCTGCCAACTTGAAACAACAACAACAACGAGGGTAACGGTAGACCTTTTTTACTAAGGATTCTGAGAACACAAAAGCCTTTCTTTCCTAGCTTACCTGTCATTATGGTTTGAGTCAGTAAAAAGCTGCTTCACATTTATATGAAGTTATATTAGAATTTAGATTTTTTTTAATCCACTTCAGTTGCAAAACCACAAACTTTCCCGGAGAAATTGCACTTCCTGTCAAAGAACGATCACAGTAACATTTCCCTGATAAATACTATGGTACAGAGTGAGTGGAAGTGCAGCTTTTACACCATTTTTAAAATTCCAGCTTAGAATATCTTCTGTAAATAAAGTCATTGCATATTTTCCTGGGATACTGTTACTGTCCTAAAAAATCTCATTAGTATGAGAGTGACACTTAAGGTCAGAATTGGGACTCACACTTACCTTCACAACGAAGTGCCGGAGACTCTAGTAGCTTTCTGCACACAGCACAGAATTTTTTCTTATAAAATCTTGGAGGTCCTAAACAATGTGCAACTGGAACCTGCAAAAAAAGGGGGGGGGAATGTGGTTTAGAAGTGTACTGTACTGCACACCGAAGGCTAGATTCCATGTTGAGCATAGTTAAGTGTGGACACAATATTCAATTGAATATTGATTCAGTTTTACATTAATTGTGACTAACAAGTCTCAGTCATTCCGATGGGTCTGCTCAATTTTGCCAGTGCAACACAAATGTATGTACAGGCAACTACAAAATTGCTTATATAACAGATGGAGCAAGTTTCAATGTTTGAGAAACTGTTTATTCCTAGTATGAAAACAAGGACTTGTTCTCACATAAGTACAACTGGGCTAGGAGAAAGATGAAATATGCAATATGTCTCCAACTTAATTGTATTCATGAGCATCTGGATAAGCACTCGAAAACTTCCACTTCAAAGCCATTTTTTGACCTGAGTTCACTAAAAGAGCAGGATATAAATCAAATAAATAAATCAAATCAATCAATCAATCAATAGAACAGAGTGTTTGGGCTGACAAACAACTTATCCCCTATCAGTTCCCCCTTCCCAATATGATATTAGAGGGCATGATCAAATACCTAGACCACTGACTCCTTCAGCAACATGCCAGTTAGAGCATTTCCAACCAGATATTCAACCAAGAAGCTGACTGTGGTCCCTTCCTCATTTTCTGCTTGCTGTGGAAGCAAGCAAAAGGTGAACCTATACGAACTTCGAAGTTGCTTTGGCAGCTTCTTCTGCCTTAAGGTCAGAACTCAGCTGACTCCAAAAGAAAATAAGGAAATGAAACTGGCCTCATATTTTCCCCATCACCTCCCTGCAGCCCTCCTGGCTCTATCTCCTTACTGAGGGGGTGAGGTTTGAACCAGAGAAAGGAGCAACCAGAGGCCCTTCACAGACCAGATTGAGGACTGTAGCAGGACACTCTAGGTTCACAGGCTGAGAGTCCCCACACTGCAGAAAGGCAGGTTACTATTCTCTCACTCCCACCTTCATAATCCATAAGAGAAATAGTATTTTCCTACCTTACAGAGTAATTGCAAGGATTATTGTTACTAACACTTACAAAGCAGCAAACAATCCTAAATCTCATACAGCTATTTCACTAAGATATAACAAGCCCCACATGCAAGGTCACAGTCTTAACGGACACAATATAAAAAGAGGAGAATTAATTCAGGCAAGGGATTAGTGTGATAATTTAGATGATGTCACTTCAAATCCTCTAAATCACTACATAAATTTCAACAGAAAATCTGGTCCTCCTTGCATCTGAGCAACAGGCAGGCACACCTTCAGAAGACAGATGACATTCTAAACTAGAATATCCTGAAATGTCAATGTACACCAAAGGTGGTTTGCAAATAAATTCGTAAATGATTTTACTAGTACTGATGGTTGTATACACTGGAGAGAGGGGAAATGGTGGTGTGCATTTATTTACTCACTTTCTCAGAGATATATCCTTCCTTTCCTCTAAGGAGCTCAAAACGGCTTCCTCAACCATGTGCACTCTTTTAATGCCCTGTAAAGTAAGTAAGGCTGAATCATAATGACTGTCCCACAGTCATTCAGCAAGTTTCACGGTTGATCCAAGATTTGAATTTGGATCTGCTCGGTCCTAGACAGACACTCTAACCACTATACTGAGTGAATCTAGTCTCTGAATATTTAGTACTGTAATCAAAATGGTTTGGCATGACTCCAAAAACCTGGTTTCTATTGCTATCCCTTCTATTAATTATTTTCTCCCAAAAAATCAATATAAAATAATTTCCTAGAAATGCTGGTATTTTTTAAATCACGTTTTTAAAAATTTAGTTGATTTTTTTTAATTAAAAGGGGTTTAGATGACAGTAAAAGGAGAGACAAGAGGGTTGTGGGTTTCTTAAAAATCCAAAATGAAGAGGATGGCAAAAAGCTTGGGAACCATCATTTTAACTAGCTGGGTCAAATATATACCACATATCACAAGAGCAGCCGTCTGATTCAGTGACCATAAGTATAGTACACCACCACTCCTCATAGTCAGAAACACATTCTCAATACACCAGTTGATACAAGGTACTAAATAATTCTGCCACGCTCTGCCCCTACACTACTAACCACCTGTTAGTATAGCACAGCAAAAGCAAAACTAGTGGTAACTGTATGTATGTATGTATGTATGTATGTATGTATGTATGTATGTATGTATGTATGTATGTATGTATGTATGTATGTATGTATGTACGTACGTACGTACGTACGTACGTACAGTACAGTGTTTCCCCAAAAATAAGACAGGGTCTTATATTAATTTTTGCTTCAAAAAAGGGCATTAAGGCTTATTTTCAGGGGAATTTTTTTTTCATGTACCACAATCTACATTTATTCAGACAGTCATATCATCTTCTTCTGGCTGTTGCACAATAGTGGAGGGCAGGGTTTCACTTAACTGGGGCTTATTTTTGGGGTAGGGCTTATATTACAAGCATCCTGAAAAATCATACTAGGGCTTATTTTCAGGTTAGGTTTTATTTTCGGGGAAACAGGGTCTGTCTGTCTGTCTGTCTGTCTGTCTGTCTGTCTAATTTATATACCGCCCCATTAGTGTGATGCACTGTTTTAGAAAGATAAGAAAATAAAAGCTGAACAATAACAAATGGTAAATCGAAACAACAAAAATAAAAGTGAGAGGAAGATAAACATATCAAAATACAGTGGACCCTCTACTTAAGGAATTAATCCATATTGGAATGGTGTCTGCAAGTCAAAAAGTCTGTAAGTCAAATCTCCATTGACCTACAATGCACTGAAAACCGATTAATCCCATAACCAGTGGTTTTTATTCTATTTTTATTCCATTTTGGTTTTTTTCTGGTCTGTAAGTCGATTCTCTGGCTGCAAGTCGAATCTAAATTTTGCAGCCAGAGAAGTCTGTAACTCGAAAAGTCTGTAAGTCGAGCCGTCTGTAAGTCAAGGGTCCACTGTAGATTTGACACAGCAAGACAAGTGCTCCATCCTGTCTCCTTCCTGGGAGACTCTGCCAAAAGTTACGTGCTACCTGCATGTCTGTCTGACTCTTTTCAACCTGGGATTAAATCTGCCTTGAAACAGACTGTCAGACATTTGGAGTTCCACATCCCTCCCTGCAATATATGTATTATGAAACCTTATGATCTTCACAAGGTAATTACTGGAATATGATAAAATTCCTGAGCAAGCAACAATTCAAACCAGCAGATCAGTTTTCTAGGGTGTATGAAGTGCTGATACATTGACAATGATAGCAGCAAAAGCATGGTGGCATCTCTGGCAGGAGCCAAACAGGACTTGCGAAGACAGAAATCAGTCGCAACCACAAGCACAGCACGCAGAAATAATGGAGATGGGGGTTTGTTCTTTGCTTTTGTAACAAATGGAGGGCACAAAAGTTCTACATAAGTTTGCTTTTCACTGTCCACCTTGGAAGTGAGATGGACGGTGGACATTTTTCAAGACAACCCTGCTGCTTTTTTTTCATCCACAGACTGGGATGGTTCTAAATCAGGGGTGACAAACTTGTGGCACTGCATGTGTTGCTGGATTACAACCCCAATCATTACTTAACTGGCTATGCTGGCTGCGGCTGATGGGAATTGCAGCCCAACAATATTTTCTGGGATCACACGTTTCATACCTCTGAGCTAAAGCCTCCACTTTGACCTCTGTTATCTTGAGGAAAGCCACCATGAAAGGGCTGTGCTTGCTATTTCACAGCAACAGTTCTACACACTTAACACATGTGCCAATGCTTTTTTTAAAAAAAGAAAAGGAAGAAAGTAAACAGCAAAGTCCTCACTAATGTGTGAAGTATTACAGTAGGACCTCCTCTGCATCCTGTGCAACAGAAAATATCTCTTTTTAAGAAACTCAGTTAACAAGAATTTTACATGAAATGCACCACTGCCCTCACATTCGAGTGTCTTGAGCTCTGTGCAATCCAGAAACCCAAAACATTATCTCTGTGCAACACTATATGGCTACAATCTTACTCCAAACAGGAGCTTGTACTTTAAGAATAAAAATACAAAAAAAGAAAGGAAAAAAGAGAACCCTCTATGTTCTAATTCTAAGCAGCTTAATAACAATGGGATAACGCCAGTCACTTTTGACCCAGTAACCCAGGAATGAAAAGTTTCTCTGTTGCACAAGCAATGTAAAAGGAATGTTCTCCTTTCCTTACACCATCAAATGACGTAATTTCTACTAACCAATTCCCCGTCCCTTTAAAATACATACACAAGACACACACAAAAAAAACAAGAGTCATTTCCTTTGCCTCTCTTTTACATGAATGGACAAAACTGGCTTTACATCAAGTCACACGTTAGCCAGCTTGTGTACATATCCTCTGCTTTGGAAACTGTGTTGGGGAAGAGATCCAATTGCAATTATTCTGTCCAATCTTAACCAGCAACAACAACACACACTCCCATCCCTACAGATGATACTAATTCTGCTTATTTCGGTTCTTAACAGATACCACTGATAATTAACTGCTAACAAAGCTATATGACTTTTTGATTCTCATTTATTATTGAACAGCCCTTTCCAGAACATAATCTTTGTATGAGCCACTAAAATCAATTTGAAAAGAACAATGTAGAAATCTTCTCCTAGAAATGCTTTTAAAGCCCCCTAAGTGCCTTTATTCCACTGAACATACAGTACTGTATATCTAAGAAATACTTAATATTTGGATTTTTTATCTGTTTCCCAAATGTTTTAAATAAACAGTACCCTTCCAACCACAAGTACTTTGTACCTTCTTTAACAGCCCCACATCCAGCTATTTGACATGAAGACCTACTATTAAACCTATGTTATAAATTCAGCAGGAACCATTATGGTTTTTAGTAAACACAAGTGATGGTTTGGTCCAAATACTGTATCACAGTTAAGTAGTACAAGAATGGGAATAGGCAATTATTGGGCTCACATGCGATTCTCTCCCTTCTTTTTTCCTCTGTTACAACATGCACTTAATTATAAT